CTTATTATATTTAATACAACATAATTGGTGACGTCACTCCATGTTCATATCTGTCAATTGTGACGTCACGGCACAATCTGCGAAGTCCTCCTTTTAGGCGCTCCTCAAAAAGGAGCCTCTGATGGCGGACATATCCGGAAATGCGAATGCGCCAAATATAAATTTTCCGACACTTATCAACAGTAGCTATATATTTTTCAGAATGTGTCTTAGACGAGAAAGTTTTAATTAATTATTAATGATAAGAGTCTAAAATACGACACAATTGTTAAAAAACTTCAATATAAATAAGATTTCATGTGACATTTGGGACAAACAATAACATAACCCAACTAAATTTGATGTCAAACAAGGAGAGAGACTCTCTTTCCTTGTTTAATGTGGCCTCTCTTACATATCTCTGGGCCTCTAAAGATTGCACTTCCTGTCTAACAATATGTTTGCCCCCACTACCTTTACATTCCCTCTTTTGTCTTTTTGCTCGATGGGTAATATAAACACAGAATAATAAACAATCAGAATGACCACTCTGCTTGTCAAGATACCTACGCGCATCTCGTTCGTGCAGACGGAATCAGCCATGTTTTACACGGAACCAGTGCTGTTCAGTGACATTTTATCTGGTGTGCATAGACAAATTAACCCGGTTTAATTTATTTACGGCAACTACAGATATTATTATGCACTATTTTATTTCTACTTTTAGTTGAAGAATAGATTAATTGGTTGAGTTTACCGCAAGTACAAGCTGAGTATAAACGCAAATGTCAAAAATATTGGGGTTTGGTAGTGTTGGGATGTTTTTATAATGCATTTAATATGATTCAAATAAAAACACAGAAAGCTTTTAAAAAGTACATTTTGATTATACTATTTTATGAATTCTGCAATTTTTAATTTATATGAAACAATAGCGAGTAAATATTTGCCTCTTTCAAGATTAATGGACCGCAGGAGTGTGACGTCACGACTGTCACATTGACATTATTACTTTCCAAATAAAAGTTGAAATGTCAAATCTCAAGACTTTTTAATTTCTATAAAGTTAACATTTTGCTTCCTCTGCTGCTTTTTCTTGTAAGCATAGTGTTTTTTACGATAATACCATCATAATTCAGAGTTCTATTTCTATGAAATATAGTTTAAAAGTTTAAATAAAGAAATTGTAACCTTACTTTATTGATACATGCATTTTATTGCTATTAGCATAAAACAATGTGCCTTATTATTTACACAACCTTGTAAAATTGTTGTAGTAACTACTAGAATACTTAAATATTGCAATAAGCGGAAAGATTCTATAAAATAAATGAAAAAATAACGAAAAATTCAAATTATCCACACTAAACCAGGTTTGTTTGAAAAGTGAAACTGACGTATGTCAGTAAAATCTACGTCATCACTCCCGTGGTCCATTGCAAGCATCTGTTGCTATGGCAACTGCTGATTTGACGATTGCCAGATCTATCCCCTAATCTATCAAAGGGTAATTGCCAAAATAATTTCTAATAATGAACTGTAATTAATCTCCAAAGAAAGAAATATTTACTAATTTATAACATAGTATGAACAAAATGTACTTTTCTAAAGCTTTATCTTTTTATATTTGAAGCATATAGAATCTACATTATAAAAACATGCCAACATACACCACAATTTTTTGTTCCATGTTTGACATTTGCAGCTATCATCAGCTTGTACTTTCGGTAAACTCAACTCAACTAATGATACTATGAGAAGAAGATAAGATATTGCGCATAAGTCGTGACGTCATTGTAGAGTTACACCACTACACGTTCGAAATGTCAGTTTTTTGTATGTATCAATAAATAATCTCTGATAAATAGTTTGGAGATATCCTTATGTGTACGATTATTGTAATTATTAAACCTCTTAACTTATTTAGTAATTAACTCATCTAGTAATTTCATCACAGAATGCATACAAATCTCATTTAACTTTGACAAGCGTTCAAATTCTACTCTCCAACGACGGCATGTGCGAACACGACCGATTTTGTGCTACGGGAAGATCCTATCTTGTTAGTTATTGCACCGAACAACCCGAAGATGCACTCCAATAAATTTACATTGGTAGCTGTCATTGACACTACTACAGCTACATTGACAAATTCGGTGACCTTGCGCCATTTTATAAATCTAAAAGTAGTCAGGTCCGGCTTTGACTAAATAGATCCTGCAGCAGAATATATGAATACTATGAATTTAAAAATGCTTACCTTGATTCATCTGATGGAAAATGGTAAAACCCGTAAGTACAATTTGCATAACTGTTTTTACAGTTCACTGCTGCACATCTTGATCTGCTTTTATTTTTATTCAGTATATCCATATCTACGATTGCACAAAATCAAATTATTAACGAAACAAATATGATCTGACAACAACAACCTCAAAATGATCGTGTCAACGACGTGATTGTTAACTTAAAATATGGCCGCTGACAATGCGCAAACCAGATGCGCGAACAATTCCCGCCGAGTCAAGTGCACCTTCGGTGTATCATGAACTCAACCGATTAATTTCAAATGTACTAAATTATTAATCTCTAAATTTAAATTACAGTTCTGTCGTAGCTTGTCAGAAATTTCGCAATTCGAGTGTATGTTTCCGTCTAAAACATGGCGTTCGCATGCTGATAAACTTCAAAGGCGGCATCTGAGAGTGGGCATTCTGATTGTTGATTATTCTGTGTCAGAACCATAATTTAAATTTTTAGAGATTAATAATTTAGTAAATTTGAAATAATTAAATCTATTCTTCAACTAAACGTACGACATAAAATATTGCTTATTATGTATATGGTTGCCGTAAATCAATTAAACTGTACACTTTTCTATGCACACCAGATAAAATTTCACTGAACAGCACTGGAAAGTAAAATATTTTTATTTTTGACCGAATTATATTCGAATAGAATTCAAAATAATTTTAAAATATTCAAACATTGTTTATTTACAATAAAAAACCGATTTTTAAGCATTTCTCTTCAATAAAGTTAAAAGTATAAGTTTATGCATTAATTCAATACATTTTAACAATTATAAATTTAATAAAAGAATTTTAAATAAACTTCAATTTTAAAATCTACTAAGAATGTTAAAATCTAATTAAGTATACCTACCAAGTCTATAAAATTTTCCATAAATATTTTTATCGTAATTGTAATATATTTTATTCGTAATTTATGATAATTTACAGTCGTTATACAGATAAACGAGGCGGAGGCCGAAGCAGTAAAAGACCTCCCCAAATAACGACGAAAACGGCGCTGGTGAACAGCATTGTTCAAAAGCAGAAGCCAGTATAGAGAGAGACTTATTTAATGATCTAAAAGCTGAAATGAAATACAGGCTTTTTCAAAATTGTTGTAGAATTAAGTCTACTGATTTTGAATGGTTATTAAATAAAATTGGCCCAAAAAGCGCGAAAGAAGATACAAAGTTTAGAGAAGCGATACCACCAACAAAAAGGTTACTGTTAACCCTACTATATTTATCTACTGGTGACTCGTATACAAGATTTATGTATTGGATTCCATAAAATTTGTCGCTTTCGATATAAATCAATAAGTTTTAAACAAGAATAACTAGTCCACTCCATTATTGCAAATTGAAAAATCAAAATAAAATCGGGACGACGTTCGTCACTTGTACTTGGTAGCGTACACACTAAACACAGCCAAACGAATTCTTTCTTCAGTGTTCAGAATTCAGTGAACGAACTCTAGCGAAGGCAAACATATGCATTTGCTATCGTTTGTTGGGGTGTACACATTTACCAAAGTCGTTTGGTCACAAGGCCACATGCGTTCGCTAAATGTGTACTCGCCTTAACATTGCAGAATCCATAAAATAATGTAATCAAAATTTACTTTATGTGAAAGATGTCTTTGTCTTAGACAAGGAAAGAGTGCACCATAAAATAAGGCGCAAGCTGAAGCATCATCCGTCGAAGAGCATTAACTACATAGTAATTTCTTATGTTTGATTTTTATTATTTTGTTTACTTTTAATCGCTGAAAAACAAAATGTTAATTTTTGTTTTATTGTATTTTTTATAATTTAGAACCACTTTTTAATAAAATCAGTTATCTCATAAATATAAGCGGGTCTTTTCTTCCAGAAAATTTATTGTAAAGAAAATTTTCTGTGTTAAACCGAACCTTTAAGTAAGATTATTTATCAGATATTTTTAAAATTGTTTCTAAATACATATGTTGTTTAACAGTGAGATTTCTACTTTTATTGCAATATATCTCCAGCAGCATTTCTGTGCAACAATAAAAGTGATTTTTTTCTCAAAATTTTAGTACAATTTTTCACAAAAGTACTGTTAGCTAATCTTGTACTCAGTTTACAAGTTATATTCAAAATATAAATGTAGTTCTCTGTACGATAAGAAAGTTATTCCTTTAGTAAAATACATTTTGCACGTTTTCTCTGTTCATCGAAATTTACGATATCCCAATGTTGCTGTCACGTATCGAGAACTGCCATGAATTGGTTGTGGTGGGAGTGGTAAGGGAAGTATCCGCACGTCTTTCCCGTGTAAGAACAAAATATATCTAGTTGTTTCCAGAAATAACCACTAGAGTCGCTGATTATTGACTGAATTTTTACTTTTTTTAGTGCTAAAGATAACATACTTCTGCCCATAAGCGCTGCGGATCTATTCGAATATTAAATTAACTCCTACATACAGAGCTCATGTTTGCATTTCGTTCGGCACACAAACATTTGGAGAACTAGAGCGAAGAGAGCTGTCTTTTAGAAACTCACAGGTGCTAAAGACGATAGTACTAAAGTACCAGCGATGATAATGATATGTTTGCATTTCGCTCGGCATATATACATTTGGAGAATTAGAGCGAAGAGAGATGTCTTTTAAAAACTCACAGGTACGAGAGACGTTAGTGCTATAGTACCAGTAATGATGATGGGGTATAGAAATGTTGATGGGGTACTTAAAAGTAAAGAAAAATATAAAAGGATTTTATCAAAAACAATATGTACAGTCATTTACTATAGAATAAATAAATACTTTTTAAGAGGAATCATCATTGTTATCATTTTCGTTACTGGAGTTTCGATTTTCATTATCCAAGTCATTAGATTCAGTTTCTTGTTCCAGGATTGGGTTATCATCTTCTTGTTTATCTTCACTTGAATTTTTTTCTGGATTGTTTTCCTGAAGTCCATCTTGTTTTTTCTTCCAATTTTTAGCCGACGCTAGCAACTTTTCTCTTATTCGATCACTGCTACTTTTAACAACAATATTAGTATTTTCTTTTTCATCTCCATCCTCCGCTTTTTTCTTCCAGTTCTTAGCAGCTGCAAGAAGTTTCAAGTTGGGTCTACTAGCCTCGTCTTCGGGGAATATGTAATCAAATACTTCTTCCCATCCTTGTTCCACACCGTCTTCATCAACAACTTTCTGCCTCTTTTTGATTCTTCTTGGTACTTTGGCATTAACTTTTTCTTTACTCGATTCGTCTCCATGATTATTTTCAAACTCCCTCCAATTTTCCAATAGTAGCACTCTTGCTTCTTTCTCCGGAAAGCTCTTTAGATTTTCATTGGCCCTTTCAAAGATTCTTCGAGCTAACCGAACATTTAATTCATCTTCTGTTGGATTGTTAAGTTCAAATTTAGCATACGATAGCCAAACCTTAACGTGGGAGGTTCTTTCCAATAGTCTTTCATATATCTGTCTTGCATTATCCGGTTCATCTTGTGATATTTCAAAGTCAATGTAAGCTTTCCACAATAATTCTGGCATGTCAAGTCTTGCTTGATTAATCGCCAATTCAAATATACCTCTAGCTCTATCAATATCTCCCAAAAGTGTTTCCAATTCGGCAAATTTCATCCAGGTAATGCAATTTTCTGGTCCAAACTCAAGAAATTTTTCGTATAATTTTCTGCATCTGTCAAACTCTCTTAATTGGATCTCTAAATCAATGTATCCTCTAAAAAGTTTATCTCGAGGGCACATACCAATTGACATTCCAAGAATTTTTCTTGCTGTAGTTAAGTTCTTCTGACGAATTTCAAATTGAGCAAAGAGCAACCATATTTTTGAAAAAGTAAATATCTTATGAGGAAGTATTTCTAAGCAAGCCTTATAAACCTAAAAATAAAAAAGCATTATTAGTTTCAAGTGAATGATCTCCAATAGACATTTTATTAAATTGAAAAACACTATAGTATAGTCTCAAAATTGAAGGCAGTAAATTCCGTGGAAATGATTATTTAGGGATTAGCGTTATTCTTGGTCTTCCAGGGGCGTACAAAAACAAACATTTTGCTACTACTATTTTCTCCCTAGCGCTAAGAAATTTCTAAGCAAGGTCTAGAGGTCTTTGGATTTCGCATGTTTGGTTATCCCTGCTGATTCTTATTTCGTGACTCCATACGTATATTCCTCCATAAGTTCTACCACTTTGTTTTGAATATTTAAATGGTTATTGGGGACCATATTTGTCATAAACTTAGTTTTGGACAAATTCATTTTGAGGCCCGCCTTCGAACATGCAAAGTACAATTCATTTAACATATCTGTGGCTTCTCCTAAAGTATCTATGATAAGGACAATGTCATCTGCGAAACGGAGCTGGTTAAGATTTTCGACGTTTATTGTTACTCCTCTGTGGTCCCAATTGACTATCTTATATACACTAATGCCGTTATGAATAATTTCGGTGAAAATGTATCTCCTTGCCTTTCACGTTTTATTTTTATTGGTCGGGTTCAACTTCAATATCACTTAATAAATCATTGATTTTATCAACGCTCAAATGTTGTAGCAGTTTCGTTTGTCTGCTTCTGTAAAATTCCTAACGCAATTTCTCTTTTTTTATAGCGTGTTTTTATAGCATTCTGACAAACTTCGAATGCGAATTTTTTATTTCATCTTTTAAGAGTGGAGTAGTAAAAATGTTCGAAACATATTGTTCGGACACCATCGCCGTCAATGCCAAAGACCTACCTGCCAAAAAAATACCCTCCTCAGCGGTGAATTACGCATTCTCACGCATTCTAGCACTTGCTCACTACGACTAAATTCTTCTCTCACTCTGTTCCCTCCCCGTTCATGTTCAATCTCGACATTTCTCATTCTGCCTTATCTTCTTGCTTGTTCCTGGGCACCCTCCCTTCACTCGGGTGGGTGCCTTTCTTCTTGTTCCTTTCTCTCCAACGGTCTCCTCACATATCTCTGAACTGCTTTCCACTGATTTGACGACCTAAGCATCTCATCCACCAGTTCCGTGACTGATTGCACTCTATTTCCTAGCGCTCTCTCAAGCAGGCTCCTCCCATTTATCCATCTATCGCGTACCAATAGAGTGTGTGAGACAGTGTCCGATATTTCAGAGTACAGGCATTTGTCATATTCTGCCTTTCCAAATCTGTAAAAGTATGCCCTGAAACAGCCATGTCCCGTGAGCATATGCGTCAAGAAGTAATACAAACGCCTATACCCGCGGTCCATCCATCTTCTCAGATTAGGAATCAGCGACTTCCTCCACTGCACCACCCTTCTCATCTCGTTCCATTCCTCTTGCCATCCCATGATGACCTTTCACTTTCTTCTTTTTTAAACGTTCTGTTGCTATCCCTTCATTTCTTCTCTTTTATATTTTTCCTCCTTCCTTCACTAGCACGTTCATCGGAATACACCCGGTGATAACTCCTAACGTCTCGGCAGATACTGTTCTGTATGCACATACCATCCTCAATAGACTCTTCCTATCCGCTTGGGTAAGCTGCTTTATCTACGCCTTTGTTAAAACTGCAGTACTCCAGACAGGCGCAGCGTAGAGGATGATCGATTGCACAACAGAATGAAGGGTCCTCTTCCTCTCAGTTTTGGGCCCTGCGATGTTGGGCATGATCCCCCAACGCGATATTTCTTTGAGTTATGGTTACCGCCTTTACGTGCCCCCTCCACTTCCCGTTTTGACTCAGAATCACCCCTAAAAACCTCACACATTTCTTTGGAACCACTCTCTTTCCTGCACATTCGAATGTTATCCCCGTCCCTGTTCCTCGGTCCCTCGAGAACTATAGCTTCGGTCTTACCTGCAGCCAGTTCTAGCCAATGCTTTTTCATTCATTCCTTGACTTGGTCGCATGTACGCTGTGCACCAAAGATAAGGTACTCCCTGTCCCGCGCCACTACCAGCATAGTGAGGCCGTCCGCAAATGCGAAAGCGGTTACACCCTCTCCGTATTTTTGGCTCACAACCCCGTAATATGCCAAGTTCCACAACGTGACTCCTAGCACCGACTCCTGCGGCACTCCAGCCGTGGGGTCTAGAGACTAGAGTGTATGTTTTGGTTGAACAATTAATTATAAATGTGAATAATAGTGACTGCGATAGTTCTTCCTCGTCCGACAAATTTTCTTTAGACGATAGTTAACGTTTTGACCTTTTGTGGATACCGAAATACTTAAATACAGCCTCCTATAATTATACGTAAGTTAATTTTATTTACATATACAGTAGAACCCCGATTATCCGTGCTACACGGGACCGGGCGGTGGCACAGATAATTGAAATGCACGGATAATCCGAACATTTTTTTAATGTATATGTACAGTTGCGGTCACGGAATAGTTTACACCTTACTTTTTATATTGTAATACTGTAAAATTGCAGTGTCGTACGGATTTGATAAATGTCAAAGTCAAAAAATTTCAAAACGTCAATGCTTTCGCGAGTGTTCAACAATAAAATAAAAGTATATTAAACTCTTCCAAAATGGTTAGAATACATTTGAATTATGCGCAAAAAGCAAGAGCAATTGCCAAACTCGAAGAAGGTTGGTCACTAAGGCAAGTTGCTGCTGATTTGAACGTGAGTCATATGTGCATATGGAAGATTAAACAAAGATGGGATAATTTTCACTCTATAGCACGGTTGGGCGGTTCAGGAGGGCAGAAGATTTCCACAGATCAACAGGATGAGATGTTAGTAGATTATTTGAGAGAATCTCCTTTTGCCACAGCTCAAAAGGCAAGAGAAGAGGCAGCGTTTCCAGGCAGTATTCGCACTGCACGTCGAAGAATTAAAGCAAGTGGACTGCTAAATTGTGTAGCTGCACGGAAACCTTTTTTGACTGAGGATCACAAGAGGAGACGAGTTGAATTTTGTAATGAATTTATAAACCGCGATGAGAATTTTTGGTCTAGGGTTGTATTTTCCGATGAAAAAGTATTTCAGTCGTATAATAATGGTCGAATAAGAGTTTATAGGCCGAGAAATCATAGGTATGATGAACAGTATACGCATCATTTAAGAAAAAGTGGAGGATTCTCTGTCAACGTATGGGGATGGATAAGTGCCGAAGGCCCGGGCGTTTGTTATCATGTAGAGGAGAAGTTAACAGGATTATATTACAAACATATTTTTGAGCACACAATGTTGCCATCGGTGATCCAGAGATTCCCCAACAACGACTTTATCTTCCAACATGACAATTGCCCGGTGCATACGAGTAGAATTGTTCGAGAATGGCTAGAAGAAACTGATGTTAATGTTCTTCCGTGGCCTTCCCGTAGTGCAGACTTTAACCCCGTCGAAAATGTGTGGGCAGAGTTAACAAAGAAACTAAATGAAAGAAACCTTAGACCACGGAATAGAATTGAATTATGGGAAGCAATTGAGCAGGCATGGGAAGAGCTTGTTAACTATAACATGAGGGGATTGGTGCTATCTATGAACAGAAGACTGCAAAATTGTATTGACAAGAATGGGGCTTCCACCAAATATTAATTATTATTTATCATTGTTTATCGTTATTTAATATAAAATAGATTTAAAATAAAATGCATATTAAAAAAAAAGACTTCTTTATTTTCGTTATTAAGATCATAATCCATTTTATTCAAAAAACTGTTTTCTATATTTTTCATTTTGTAAAATATTTTGATATTTTAATTTTAATCTACCTATTCTAGCTAGTACACCACTGGCAACGTCACTTTGACGTAAAAGGTGCGTTTAAACGAAGTAAAAATTTAAAAAATGGGCTCCTAGATACGTGAACCTGTAAACTATTCCGTGACCGCAACTGTACATCTGTACATACATGCATATATACCTATCATAAAAAGAAAACACAAAAAATCAAAATCATAAGTTCAAACTAACTTTTATAGTACATAAAAACATACATAACACAACAAAAAACAGATTTCTACCGAAATAAATTTTTATATTAAATAATAAAAATAAAAACTACATAAAGGTATTGTGTATTTTAGGTGGCTGTGCTTTTGAAAAAAAAAAAAAAAAAAATCAGGCACTTTGGCCTGTGTTAAGTTTATCATAAATTCTTTTCGGTAGAATATTTTCATTGTCTCAATAACACCTTGATTCATTGGTTGAGTAAAGGATGTAATATTGGCTGAAAAAAAAAGAATAAAGAAATTTCCATCGTCAGATCTTAGGGTCGCCTCATTGGGATGAGCACCAGCATTATCCAGAAGAAGAATCGCCTTTTGTGGTCAATTTTTTTCTTCCAATATAACTTTACTTCAGGAATGAACTTTTCATGGAAACAATCTTTGAAAATGTCACAAGTTATCCAGGTAGCCTGGTATTCTGGTTATAATAGTGAACTGGGAGATTCTGTCATTTTATATTTTTAAAAGCGCGAGGATTTTTTGACTTTCCAATCACAGTCAGCTTCAGTTTATGGCTGCCAAACGCATTGACACAACACAACACGGTTGTCCTGTCTTTACTTTTTTTATACCGAGATGCACTAGTTTTATTACTTGCAACTAAAGTTTTTGTAGGTATTGCTCGCCGGTATATTTTGTAGGTATAAATTTGAGAAAGTTGTAAATTATTTTCTGTAATTATGTTCTCCAGCTCATAGCAAAATTCCACCATTACTTCTCCGTCGGCACTGAGCTTTACGCCTTGGATGGTAAGCTCATGAATTCATGGTAAGCTCAATGCATTCATTTTTTTCGAATTCTGAGAAAACTAACAAATATTTGTGAAAATTTTACACGCAGAATAAAAGATTACATTATTACCGAGGGCTGAAAGTCTCTTAGAATAAACAAAAAGTTTTTTTGAATGATATATTTGAAATTGAAAATCACACTAAGTTTTCTCATTTTTTCACCCATGTAACTTATTAAAATAAACATTAAAGAAGTTTTCAGGGACTTTCAGCCCTCGGTAATAATGCTTTCTTTCATTCTGCGTTTAAATTTTTCAAAACTATTTATTAGTTTTCTCAGGATTCGAAAAAAAAAAATGAATGCATTTAAAAAGCATTGGCCCGAAATTTTGCGCCTACGCTCTTAAGTAGCACGGATAATCCGCACACGGATAATTGGGGTTCTACTGTACTGTGAAATTAAAATACTTATGACTTCTATAACTCCTATATAAGATACTAATTTTTAAAAGCTAAACAAGCAACCTGCACGTAATTATATGTCAAATACATGGCTTTGATGATCTACTGTTCATATCCACTGGTCATGTTTTATTAGATACTTTAAAAAGTATATTATTTTAGGACTATTTAACACTATGTGAATTATTATTATAGTAGTTGATACATTATCTATAAATCACAACCTGGCATCTGTGTTGTCGTTAAAACTCGATTACCAGTTTCTCAGAATTTAATGTCTACAATTTTGAAATTTTACTATAAAACGTTTGTATTTAAATTACATTTGTTACATAATTATTCAGAATTTTACAGTTAAGAGTTATAGATAATATATTAAATAAATAATTTAATAAATTAAAAGTTAATAGATACGAGGAACATATCAAAAATATCCGACCTTCGTTCATAACTTTGCGCCAAAACACTCCAGCTCAAATTGTAGGCTATAAGCGTAATCAGTCACTCTTTAAGAACTTGCCGCATATCGCAGTTGCCAACGGGAAATATCTAGTTCGTAATATCGTACTTTTGTTGACGTTGTCTTTTTCACGTTTGTCGCAGTTTGTTATCGCGGAAAATTACGGAGAGATGTGAACAATTGATTTCCATTAATTTATGAGCAAAAATAAAAGAATGGTCTAAAAATTCCCGCACAGCTGTTAACAGTGACTTGTATTGTGGTCGACCATACAGCACAACATCCGAAATGTGAGATTTGCGATCGAAGATCGTAGCTTGAATGTGCTCGAACGAAAAAGGAATCGTAGAATTCCGAAAGCAATAATTTTAACTGATAATTTGGAAGCGACTCGCGTGTTTGCCAAATTTAATTAATGATGAAAATATGAAGTTGAAAAATATGAAAATGAGCGTTACTGGTGACGAATATTGGGTTTACAATAATTATAATTCCGAAACAAAACAGCAATCTTTATAATGTATCCCTCCTATTTCTTTTTCGATTATGAAGGTATTCCATGAATACACAGTGCCAACACAATACTCTAGACTTTCTCATGTTTCCAAAACTGAAAATGGTGCTTAAAGACTAACGATTCGATGATATAGAGACGAATTAAAGATTATTACCAAAATTAATAAAGCTCGGGTGAGAGCGTGTCGTTAACTAATATGGATTACTACTGGATACAATGAGCTGGATGACGAAGAAGGATAAACACACAGAAGTTGTGAACAATGTCGGGATACTTCTGAGACAGACCTGTTCTATTACATACTTTACCTGGCGAGTTCTTTCATAATCTTTAGCCTCAAGTTCTTCAAATATCGCATAATTAATCCATAAATAAATATATCTCCTCCAAAACTGCTTGTTTTTTGTTGGAGGAATATTAGCAATAGCTCTTTCATAGGTTTCTCGTGTAATGTCGAGATCACCTTCTCCTTCCACTAATCGAAGGTAATCAAACCATGCATCATAGTTGGTTGGATTTTGTAGTATTTCTTGCTCATATTGAAGTTTTCGTTTTGACATAATAACTTCTTCGATACCTTAAAAAAATTATATTTATTATATTATATTATAAAACAAAACCGATAATATATTATACAAAAGATATTTTCTATAACAAAATAAATAAATGTAATAATTACCACTTCTGTCGCCATATTTTTTCTCGTGTATTGTATACGCCTTATAGAGTTCCTTAGTTTCATCTTTAGGTATATGATCGAGAGCATACTTGTATATTACCCTCGCCCTGTCATGCTCCTTTTGATTTTCTTCAAACTTGGCAAACGCAATGTAGAGTTTCTCATCTAAATGCTCGTCTCCATAGAATTGTACTGCTCTCTCATATATCTGTCTAGATGAGTGTATGAAGCCATGGTTTTCCTCAAAGCGGGCGTATTTTATCCAATGTTTTACTTCGGGATGTGTTATGACAAATCTGTAACAAATGAATCACTTTAGTTGAGATTAGTAAAATATTTAATGATTCGGACAGAACCATGTCAGAGAACCAAGTCAGTCTTCTTTAAATGTCTATTAAATATATTAGCAATTACTCTAGGTAAACTTTCCCTGCCTTTTGTCACTCGTATAATTTATTTGAGGCGTATCCCAGTCAATTGTCTAATGCTTCTCATTTAGGATAGTTTCTCTTTATTTGCTGATTGTAGAACTTCTCCATTTGATATATTTGATGTCAAAAATATTTTCAAGATTCAGTAATATATACCCATACCTTTAAAGCTTTTATTTTTCTTATGGATTTGGATATGGATATGGATCTAAGGGAGTGGTTTGGTCTGAGCTCTAGCCAACTATTTAGAGCTGCTGTAAGTAAAGTAAGAATTGCCATGTTGATATCCAACCTTCGTTAGAAGATGGAACCTTAAGAAGAAGAAGGGGAACGGGGTAATATATCTGTAGAACTCTATTTTTTCTAAAAATTTAATTAAAAATCCTTTGTAATAGGTATATTTTAGGCCCAAACGGGCTAAGTTAAAAAGACAAAACGTTTTCGGAAACCATGTTCCATCATCAGTGTCTAGGAGTACATGAATGAAGCCACCAAGATTAAATATGTGGGTAAAAACCCGATTACATATGTTTAATTACATTTAGTTTTAAATTAATGTTGTAATGATATAGGATTACAGAGTTACCGATGGATTTGGTAACATGGCGACATATGACTCCACGTTGAAGTTGCTAGTCCTGAGACGGTATGTCTTCGAGGACTGTATGAGTGCAACTGAGTTGCACTGAGTTGCACTCATACAGTCCTCGAAGACATACCGTCTCAGGACTAGCAACTTCAACGTGGAGTCATATGTCGCCATGTTACCAAATCCATCGGTAACTCTGTAATCCTATATCATTACAACATTAATTTAAAACTAAATGTAATTAAACATATGTAATCGGGTTTTTACCCACATATTTAATCTTGGTGGCTTCATTCATGTTCTCCTAGACACTGATGATGGAACATGGTTTCCGAAAACGTTTTGTCTTTTTAACTTAGCCCGTTTGGGCCTAAAATATACCTATTACAAAGGATTTTTAATTAAATTTTTAATACATGGTATACAGCCAACTACAGGAACATAGATTCCTTGTGGATTCTATTTTTTCCATTGATTTTCCGGGTTTTGGAATTAAGATTAGTTGGGCTATTTTATAAAGTTGAGTTTGTTTATGCTCAAAACTTTACATGAAGCATGCAAATTTACATTTAAATTTTGGTTAATGATAATTTTTATTATTGTAGGTATATGTTCTATACTAAATAATTTTATCTTTTACATATCTCGTCTTCTTTTCTTCACTTCTAAGAAGCTATATAAAAGAATTTGGTGGCGCCCTCTATGGCAAATTGTTATAATTTTTTTAAAATCCACATGGAAAACAATTCCTGTTGCTGGCTGTATACCATGTATCCCAAAAAAGAGGTTAGTCTTCGTAAATGGGTATATTTATTTAAAAACCCTTAAAAGGGCTACATCAAAAACACAAACGTTTTCGGACTAAACAGTCCATCATCAGGTTTAAAATTTTAAAATTGCCTAAAATAAGTATAAACCATTTAGTTAAAACAAACGTGGTCAACAAACAAACAAAGCTCAACAAACCAAGTTTGTTTTAACTAAATGGTTTATACTTATTTTAGGCACTTTTAAAATTTTAAACCTGATGATGGACTGTTTAGTCTGAAAACGTTTGTTTTTTTGATGTAGCCATTTTAACGGTTTTTAAATAAATATATTTTTTTTATCTTATTTATTCAATATTTCCGCTTTAGCTCTAGTACCTATCATCTTATAATTTTTTTCACTTCAATTTTTTTGGGCTGTAAGAATGTCATAAGAATCACCCTCACATCTCCGCCGACTCATAGCAACGCGCCCTCGTTCATTTTGTGATCAGAATTTTTGGGTGAATCAGATGACATTTATTACAACTAAAGAATGCAATACATAGAGAGGGGATCAGAATTTGACTTATTGATATTGACACGAAAACCAACTTGTTTTGGTTAACATCATAAGCATAAATTTCCATAGCAACCCACTAATACATAAGTCACAGTCACTTATATGAAGTTTGCAAGTTGATTAAAAATGGATACTTCATCTGTCAAAACAGCTAAAGCAGTAGTATTATTGAGAGAAGGTCTGAGCCAGCAAGCCGTGGCAAATCGACAAAATTTAAGCCAATCAGCCTATCCCCTGTGTATTGTCTGTACCAAAATACTGGTGGTTATGTCTGCCAACAAGGAGGCGGTCATAAAGAAATAACAATGGAGAGAGATGGTTGATTTCTTGTATTGAAATTGCTGAGAAATTGACATTTGACTGGTGCTCATCTCAAAGAAGAGCTTAGAGAGAGATTAGAAGAGCTTGACGTCCGAAGTGTTATAACTCGAGTTTAAACAGTCCGAAGGAGACTAAAAGCAGCCAACCTGACATCAAAAAGGCTACAGGCCTCAAGCTAACTGTAGCCCAGAAGCAAAGGCTATTAGAATTTGGTCGCAAACATCTCGATTGGATGACTATGAATGGAGTCAGGTAATATTCTCAGATGAAAGTAGGATCTGCCATCAAGAGGCGTCAAGTCTATAGAAGGTCAGGAGAGCGATTTGCACAATGTTGTATACTGAAACTGTATCACATAGAGGTGCTTCTTGTATGATTTGGGCAAGCATTTCCATAGATGGGAAAACTGAGTTGGTTTTAGTGCCTGGTAGAAGAGAATGTGGAGAAGGTTTAACAGTGAATCATTGCATCAGAGACATTTTGGATGAACATGTGGTTCCATATGCAGGATTTATTGGTGAAGCCTTTATTTTAATGCACAGTGCCATACCGCATAAGTCACCACCACCTATCTGACTGAGATATGAATATCTATAATAAATTGGCCTGCATTAAGCCCAGAGTTAAATCCAATAGAGCATGTTTGGGGGGAGACTAAACGGAGGGTCCAGGACAGAAGTTGTACATCAGGGAACATAACAGAATTGAGAGCTGCACTTAATGGTGAATGGAAACAATGCTTCAAGAATTTATTAGAAAAGTCATCCAATCCATGTGAAATCGATTGGAAAGTGTAATTAAGAGTAGGGGTGGTAATATCAAATACTGAAAAACAAAGAAATTAATTTTGTAATTGACTATTTCTCTGTTTATAATGTCTTTCTTATGTTCATTCCAATGATAAATATTTCGGAAACTCTGATTGTATATTGTTTTTATAATGCGTCCACAAAATAATACAATGCAAAAAATGAACATGCATAACCTACAAGTGAAACAAAATGCTAGTAATAAGTACAAATTTTAATCTTTTTAATCTACTTCAATATTACCAACGGCTTCTAACAATTTCTTATAGTTCACAAGGTGTGGTGCTTTTTTGAAATTTAAAAAGCACATAAATAGATATTTTTGCTACTCTTGACACTTTTAGCATTTGACAACCTGGTCAAAACTAGCAAATTTGTTATGGTTGGCAAATCTTTAACTGGTAGTTAGATAAGATTTTCTGTGAACAATGTTTAATAAACATTGAATCATTGATTTATTGAAAGAAAAATTAAATTTTTAACTAACATTTAATGATTTGATGTGATTTTCACTACAATCAATTGTGGCTTAATCCCATAAAGATAATATTCAACTTATAGATGCCACAAGAAAACATTTTCAGAACCTTTTTAAACATTTAGAAATTGCTTACCTTTCATATATTTGTCTGGCTCTATCAATCTCTTTGTAGCGGAGTTCAAAGTTAATATAGGTTTGCCAGGCTTGTTCATCAGGTTGCCAGTCCATCCATCTTTCGAAAACTGCTCTAGCACCTGGTACATTTTCTAACATTTCTTCCATATAAGTGTATTTGTACCAAAACTGATTAACTCTTGGCAAAAGAACTGTGGCCCTGTCCCATAGATTCCTAGCATGATTAACCTGACACAAACATCTTCAGATTAAAATAAATAGGTGGTGGTAAGTACATATAGGAAAATAATTTTGATATTTCCAGTTATAATAACACCCTTTTTATTTAAGAATTTTATGTAATGAGAGGCGAAGTAGAAATTCTGGTAACATAAGAATATCTAGTAATGTTATCAAAAAATTATATTAAACTGAATAACGTAACAGATCATAAAAAGTGGTATGTAATAAATAAAAGTTTAGCAATAAAAAGAAATTGATGTAAGAAGACAATTAAACATTGTTTTATCAATGAATGTACGAACGAATAAAAAGCAAAAATATATCATTTAACTGAATCACATATATCACTGATCACATAAAGTATGATCAGTTATAAAACAATATAAAAGTACCACGAAAATGAGGATTAAACAGGTATGTGGGATGTGATTATTTTATTATAAACTTGCATAATATTCAGTTTTTATATATTCCTTAGCAAAATTTGTTTACAGGTCATAATACTTCTCAATTACGATAATATATATTAATGATATGTCGTATGTATGTGTGAGAGAGACAGAGGAGGAGGTTTGTCATTGATAAAAAGCATTTGCTACAGAAAAAATATAACAATGATATATTATCCCAAGTACATTTAAAACAGTGATATTAGATATATGATTATTTACCTGTCTACTTCTCATTTCCATTTCAGTATATTTCAACCAAATGGTAATATTCCTATGGTCAACATCAAGAGCTCTCTCCCATATTGATCGGGCTCTCTGTATTTCTTTTTGGGATTCTTCCCACTGAGCATATTTAATCCAGTTAGATATAACAGTTCGGTTTTTTCTTATATTATCTTCAAATTGTTTTCTCCTTCGTAATTGATAGTCTGCTAATTCAGCTGGATCTGAGATTTTCTGTTTGGGAGGAGGAGGCAAAATTTCTAAATCTCGCTCTTTAGCTTCTCTTAAAAGCTGTTCCGCAGTGATTTGAATTTCAGCTGGAGCTTTGTTCTTCACCTGTAACAAAAAGTATTTAGATTGTGGTAACGAAGAGTTTTCCTTATAAATTACCTTTGCCACTTTGGGCATTTTATGATGTTTTGTATCCATTATTGTAAACAAAATAACTGGTTAATATGGAGAACCTGGGATCTAATCTAAATGAAAACTAGGTTATGTATTTGTTTTGACTTTGACGTCTATGACATGTATAACTTCACACCACAGTCTTCTCTATTTAACTGTCACCTATTGCTAATTATTAAGTTAGGTCACAGGTTTATTATTTAATTTAAGGCTGATTTATAAATTTTACGTTGGCATTGGCGCTGGCACCGACGTTCGCGTTACAACATGGTCAAATGCAATGACGTATAATATATAGACTCGGTGAACGCTTTAAAAAGTGTCCAAAACATGAATACCTTTGTTATTGTTTATTGTTTGGATACGAAGATGCACGAAGTTCATGATTTCTTACGAAGCATCACGAAGTTGATCTTGTGTTTGAAAACATCATGGACGTATGAAAACATTTTCTCCATTTTGTGTGACAAGCAAATTTTATTTTAAATGGTTGAGGGTTATTTACTTACTATTTTAGTAAAATGCCATACCATTTTATCAATATAATTAATTCTCTTATAGACGGGAACAAAAAGAAATCATAAATATTAAATTTTAATTAAAAAAATAATTATTGTCATTAACGTATATATGAGCACGCCGCTGTTCTGATAAACATACCTTCAACCTTGAGCCGAGATCTTTCGGACACTCGATTCTATAGCGAGAATAGGGGACTGCGTAGTCTATAATTATACGTCATTGCTTGTGGTCCTCAGGTACTGCAGTTCTATTTTTATAGGTGTCAAAATTTTGACCAATCATGTGCCAAATCACATACAATTTCCAGTAAAAGAATAAAAGAACTTGAATAGTGTCATACAGGGCAAAAATGTACGTGAAACAAACGATACAAGAAAACATAAATAACTTTCTATATCAGAAACGATATAAGAAATGATACAAGAAAATGCATAGTGTCATACGGCCTTTAGGCTGATTGATAAACTTCACGTTGGCGCTGGCGCTGACGTTCGCGTTACAACATGGTCAAAGTTATTAGTGGTCTGTGGGTCAAATGGGAAACTTGTCTATTTATAAACATCGTTCGCCGTTGGGCGTTCGGTTGCATTCAAGATGAAGCAACTTTATCTTTTGCAGTTGGCCGTTGTAGCACAGAATACACCAACCTTTCTGTGGTTGTAGTCACGATCACAGAACATAAATTTATATACCGAAATATAATACCGAAAAAGTGACAAGGTTTGTCAAACAAATCAAACTAAATTATTTGTGTTTCCCCGTGTTTATGAACAGTGAAACAGTTTAGATAATAACAAGCCTCCCTCTAACAGAAATTCCATCAGAGCGATAGTTTACATTTATTTTTCGTTTTACCATTTGCAGTAATTTTTCAAATACTGGAACCTGCATCCCGGTATATTTAAAAAACTGCTGGGTATCCAAGCTTTTCACATTTTTATAATAATTAAAATTACTTCTTGTCTTTCTGTTCTGGTTAATGGGCCTCCGTTTGTATCGACGTTGTCTTTTATTTCGAAGGCTCAGTGCTGCTCGAATACAAAGTATCAGTGCCACTGCATCTAATAAAGGCCGAGCATTTTCATTTTCCATTGTTTTTCAAGCAAAAATTAATAATACCAAATCAAAAATGCAAGGCTAGAAATTTAAACGTGACCTTTAACGCCAACGTAAAGTTTATAAATCAGCCTTTTTAAGGTCTATTAGGGCCGGTACTTTCTGCTACTATCGAATCACATGATTACTAAATCAGCCGATTAACTTTAATCGCCGGTTAAACCTTAATTAAATAAGTTTCGGTACTTTCCGGTCAATTTTGTACCCGGTTTGATTAAACCGTGGCTGATAATTTAACTCTAGTAAGTTATGTCACAGAATAAAAAACAATTGTTAATTATTATTCTGTGGTTATGTCATATTTTAGGTGGTAAACTTGTACTATACGAAAAACATGGCGCCTGATGAAAAGTGCTAAGATTATGGCTATCACTGAAGAATAATATCAATCAGAATGTCCACTCTCAGATGCCGCCTTTAAAGTTTGTCAGCACGCGATCGCCATATTTTAGACAGAAACATAGACTCCAATTGAGACATTTGTGACAATCTATGACAGAACTTTAATTTAAATTTTTAGAGATTAATAATTTAGTAAATTTGAAATAATTTAATCAATTCTTTGTACGAATAAAATAGTGCATATTATGTCTATAGTTGCCGTAAATAAATTAAACCGGGTTAATTATTCTATGCACACCAGATAAATGCCACTGAACAGCACTGGTTTCGACTAAAACATGGCTGATTCCGTCTGCGCGTATTTATTTTTTCAAGCAGAGTGCGAGGTTAGTAAAAGACTATTGTTAGTAAAAAGTATGATACTAATGCATGGTACAATAAACTCTCATGTGAATTTTATTGTACCATGATAGTAATGTGAGTATGTTAGTAAATATACTTCATCTAATTTACTTACCGTTGCACGTCATTATCATTGACAGGGATCGAAGTTGACATGGTTGACAAAGTATAAAAAAATCCTGAATCCATTTATTAAATAGGTCACATAATTATTGCAAAAGAGGATTATACAACAAAACAAATGAACGTTTAATGTAAATAAATATAAACACAAATTATTGAAATAAAACACACTATTTTTTTTAAGAACAGATTTTATTAAATAAGTAAAAATATAAACCAAGAGGTATTCACTTTAAAATTCAAAGAATGAAGTACAAAAAGTGTCAACACCGCAACTGTCAAATAAGTATTACCAATTTATGCCAAAATATCACCTTCGTTCGAACACGTTCGAATCAGATGTACATATCTCTGGTTCGAATAGAGTTACAGTGTGTTCCGAACAAATGTTCTTCATAAAAACGTATCTTCATATCATGATATAAGGAAACATGGTATGCTCACGCGCATCTATTTTGAACAGCCAATCGCGTTTTACGACCAAAATCCGCCATTTTGAAGGCGGCAATTCAAATATGTACAAATTTGATAAAAAATATCGTAGTTAAATTAAATAAAATAAAATTAATATTCTACATTAATCCAATTAATTCAGATTTAAAATGATCTGAACAGACTCTTGCTAAAATAATTTTAAAAAGATCGAAACAAATTTACTTTTAAATTCCAATACATTGCAAAGTAAGGTTAAAAAATGCAAAACAAAGCAGATGTCAGGCATGTAGAGGTGGTTGATCCAAGTATTTTTGTGGATCAGGTCAAACTGATACGCGTAAACAAATATACCTGTTAAAAAATACTGGTTTGGAAATCACTTTGTTATCATTCGTTTAATAGATATCTAAACATAACGACAACATTATTTGTATTTTGTTAGATTTCTTTATAGTTATTTAAATGACTGTTTAACTTCAAATACTTAAATTACTGTTATTCAGAGATTGTATAAAAAGTTCATAAAAAAATGACGATAGTTTTGTCTACTTCACGCCAATTGTCATTTGTTGATATTTATCTAAAGCTTTGTAAACGTTGAGAAATGCACGATAAAAATTAAGGACAAATGCAATGAAACCCGTACTCGTTTATTATAATATATTGGTGTTATGGATCAGTTCCACAAGTATAAATAAAATACATGTTCCAAAATAACTGGTACGGGATCAGGTCACCATCCCTACACGCACGGACATATTGAAAAGATGGTGGATTTTGGTCGGCGCAGAAATGTGCAAAAACGAGTCCACCTAGTGAGCATACCTTGTTTCCTTATATCATGCTTCATATAATATATGTACTCGGCAAAGTGATTCTAAAAAAGAACATACTTACTGCCCAAATATTTCGTGTTGGTATCGTGTGACCTCACGAGCTATGACAAGGATGACGTGAAACGGTAAGTAAATTAGATGAAGTATATGTGAGTATGTTAGTAAAAGCACAGAATAATAAACAATTGTTTATTATTATAAACAATTGTTTATTATTCTGTGGTAAAACTCTATTTACTAACCTTGAGGAGAGTGGGCATTCTGATTGTTTATTATTCTGTAGTCCTATTATGAAAGCAATTGTTAATTGTTCTGTGGTAAAGTATTAACAAAATTGAAAATTGAATTGGAAAACCGAAAAGTCAAGGCACACAAAAACACAGAATTTAATCGGTGGGCGGACACCGGACAACGTCAAATTTTTATTTTGGGTATTGTCATTGTCAAATTATATTGCAAAAAAAAGCTCAGTTGATCTAAGAATATTGTTTAATATTTATTTTATTAAATATTAATCGAACAAACAAACACATTCATCTCCATCCTTTGGCAAGTTGTATGTCAGTCTATTTCTGGATAGGTGATAATCTTTTTTTTCTTCTATATTATTTGATAATCCATCTGAAATAAATTTTTAAGTGTCAACATGATTACTTTTTTGACAATATTACTCATATTTTTTGACTTTATTTAATAATTAATACACCAAATTGCTTACATTTTTCACATAATAATAGTTTTTAAAATATATTAACTATCAGTACCAACCATGAAGTAATATATCAAAATTAACATTTTGTGTATTGTGTTAATAGTTGAATAAGTCTTCCTTATTAAGTTAGGTCGGCTTTATTGTCTTAACAAAAAAATCCCTTATAATATACGAAAAACTGCGACACTTTGGGTAAGTATCTATTTGATAAACAGGAGAATGACTAATTTTATAAGAGAAAAAATTCTCATACTCAATTCGATTTGAACTTTAAATTTTTTATTTAGTAAGTTAATTTACTAAGTAAATTAAACTAAGTTAATTTACTAAGTAAGTAGTAATCTTTGTCCGCTGTGCTAATTTAGTTAACTAATATTGAGTGTCTAGCGGGATTTATGTTTTTATTTGCAGAAGAGAGTAAATAACTGACTTGTGATGGATAAACATGTTTATGTTACATCCTAACATCATATCTGAGTTATGCTAAATTTTTATAAAATTGACAATATTAGTAATGATGCTATGATTATTTTCATTACTAATACAATGAACTTGATGATAAAATACATAAATCAGTTGTATATACAACAAACAAATAGTTTGTATTTATTATAAAAGAAAACATTAGCTTCCACTCAAATTTTAGGATTTGGCTAATCAATATATAGCTACTTACTACATAGCAGTTTATTAGGAAGTTCTCCATGTAACTTACTATTTGTACTGGAAATAAGTCACAATTTTACTTTAAAATAAGTGAAATACATAACTGATACATTTTAATAACCCACAATAACCCACTGTAATAAGGAATTTCAAAAACTTTAGACATATATGTTTTAAAACAATAACTTTTCTCTTGATTTGAATTTGTCATTGATCAAAAATAGTGTATCATTTTTAAATAAAGAAAATTATTTGTTTTAATTTCAAAATATCATCTGCTATTGCACTAGCCTATACTAAATAAAATAATATAAAATTGTGTGAGAATATTTTAATCACTTAAATAGCTATTTCAGATAAAATAAGTGATGATTGAAGACATTATATCACATACAAAAACTAATTGTAAATACAAATCTTTAGAGATTAACCAACCTCATATGACTAACATATAATTTTTTGTTTTAGGTAAACCATTATGAGGTTTCGTTTTTGTGGAGATGCAGATTGTCCAGATTGGGTTTTGGTGGAAATTAATACTCTTTCGAAATTATCATCTATTAAACTGAAACTTTTAGCCCAAGTAGTTGCTCAGGGTATAATTAATCCACCTCTACAAATGGAAAAAGCAGAAAAATTATTTTCAGAGTCTAAACTAGATGCAGATATAGATTTGAAAGCTTGTATAGCATGTATAAGTTATATATTAACCTCAACTACTCGTTTTAACTGTGATAGCAATGCTTTACAGAATGAATTGCAACAACTAGGATTGCCTAGGGAGCACAGTACATCTCTGAAGAGAGTTGTGGATGATCAGATAGGGGCTCTTACGGATAAATTTAGAGCAGCATCTCTTAAAGTTAATCCTCTAGAAGATATTGTTGCTACTGTAGATGCAGATCTTAAATGTGCTATTCTAGATTTAAAAATTAATGGTCAGAACCGTTCTGTAGCTTTAACTCCTTTCACAGTGAATGTATTACTTGAGAATTTAGAAGAAGTAAGGAAGACTATGGTGGAATTAAAGGAAGCTTCTTGACAGAAGTGAGATGTTTTAAAATAGATTTAAACATTTCTTTAAAACATACATATATACAGCATAATCATTCTGCAACAAGCAGCTGTGGTGAAACTGTTTAGTATTGGGAAATGGGATAGACAATAAAAGACAATAAGCTTAGGATCGTTCTGAAGCTTTTTTGTTGGGTTATTTTAACATCATTTAATATCTTTAATTGGAATTAATAAAGTGAAGTTGTGGTTAATTCTCATTAAAAATAGTAAATAATAAACTTAAGAATTATAAAAGAACTATGAATTCACCAGATATGTTAGATCTGTTGGACTAAACATAGATCTATCACTGTGTGGAAATGTCTACAAGACCATACCACCACTTTGAAATCTACAATATACATTATGTATGATGTTGAAGTCTATTTTATCATTCTTGAAGGGTTCGTTGTGATCTCTACATCATGAACTCCATTGAATTGACCTTTGTTTCAATAGCATGGAAAAGACATGATTTTTCCATTATTATTTATAGCATCTAAGTACTCATTAAAAAGTCATATATTATATTTTAGATGAACTATTAAATAAATAACTCATTTATAAAATGTATATTTTTGGTCTTAATAAAAGTTAATTTATTAATTTGTTATTTCTTTTACAATCCAACATTTTATACACAAAGCATACCAAAAATAGTTGCAACACATTATTTTCAAATTTCTGAGAGATGTCTTTAAAAATTTTCACTGATTGCTGAGGATAAACTAAAATGAAATAATGTGTCTAAGGCTATCATTCAAGAATACATGTTCTACATCATATTTAATTGGACGAATACTTTACGAAAAAGTCAAAAAGAGTACTGATTAAACAGAATTTGATTAAATATATTCTATATAGAACAATACCTATTTACTTCGTAATACAATATTAAGACATACAAGTATTAGGGATAAGAAGGGAGACAGACTAATCGATTTTGATCGATATATGATGTCACATCTACATTCTCCTTGGTACCATTTACCCAAAGCTCTTTTATATTTACTGATAAATTTATTGTCTGGTTGTTTCGTCTGGTTTGTACCTAAAAAGTTATAAGAATTAAATTAAATAATATTAGCAAAACTAAACATTAGTAGATAGCAGGTCTGACCCAAAATTATTCATTTATATCTTTATAATGCGGTATTTTTTATCATCCAGCTCGTTCTTTGATTATTCTGTAACATCTTGGAATGTACTTATAGTGCACAAGACCTTTATAATGAAAACAATAATCAACATAAGCGCTAGGAGGGAATCTTCCATTGTGAAGACTAGTTGTTTTGTTTCCAGACCATAAACGATAGGTCCGTGTCAGCGGTAATGATCATTTTAAGCATATTTTCATGATTAGAGACCAGTTCCAAGTTTTAGGTGCGACTTGTAAATGAATATATTTCTGCTCTATAGTGGGCAATTTTTTAATGAATTTGGCATATACTAGAGTCATTCTCGAATTACAAGTTATAGCGTATTTTAAAAGTAAAGTGTAAGCGAACATTAATTAAGTATATGAATGAAACATTGAAAGACTATATTTCATCAGTGTATGATAGGGTAAGGTGGGGCAAGTGCGTACCCGGGGTAAGTGCGCTTAGACTAAATAAAAATATTTGTAACGTGAAGTTGGGTATGCAACCGATTTCAAATTTAGCGCCAAGTATGAAACGAAACAGCTACACATATGAGTGGCAACGTCGTTGAATTCACGACATAGTAGCACACGTGTTTGTTGGTAGTTACGTTTGAGGTTATACAAAGAGCAGGTAAGTAAGTGTTTTTTGTCAGTCTTGTTAATCTCGTACCGCTTACTAGATTTTAATTTTTATTGAATATTTTTGGTTAGTATTGCAGAAATTTGAATTGTTTTGATACCATTTATGTTTTTTCGCTATAGTTTGCTAGTAATTAAAAATGCGCACTTGCCCCAGAGATTTAATCACATGGGGAAAGTGCATTTTGTGTGTAGGGGCAAGTTCGTCCTTACCTTAACGCACTTGCCCCGGCATAAAATCTAAATACAATTTTTAATTCTTAGGTAGAGATGGTCTGAAAGACGGAGAGAGGTTCGAAATATTCAGCAGAAGCCCTTAACAATGCCATAACGGATATAAGAAATCAGAATTTCACTGTCAAGGGAACATCGCGCACATACAAAATTCCGAGACAACATTACGGGATCACTTGAGTGGAAGAAGAGGCGCGAAGGGATCAGAACAAGGTCGATCTACCGAGATTCCATTGGCAGTAGAAAGGCGATAGGAAGAAGGTCTTAGCACGATGGATCAATGGGGATTCGGTTTGTCCCGTAAAGAAGTTTTAGAATTAACCCAAAAGTTCGTCCAATCAAACAACTTTAAAACTCAATTTAAAGATGGTAGATCAGGTGAAGACTTGTTCCTAAACTTTAAAAGAAGACATCGGCTGTCAATAAAGAAACCAGAAATACTTAGTTGAGTTTTCAAGGAAGAAAGCCATGAATCCTTTTGTTGTTAAAGATTATTTTAAGTTATTTAAGCAAAACCATTCAATCTTTGGGACTTGTTGACAAACCTGAGAGAGTCTACAATATAGATGAAACAGGATTTTCGAGTGACCCCTGTAAAACAAAAGTTGTTGGAAAGCAAGGAGCAAGTCAATTACGCGAGATCGGAAGGAATCACTATCCTCAAACTACCTGTCCAAACACCCTGTACAAATCTGTATCCTCCTCATATAAGTCACATTCTCCAGCCATTGGATTTAGCGGTGTTCAAAGCTTTAAAATCAATGTGGGACGAAGAATTTGTGAAGTGGCAGCGATAGTTTGCTGGTCGGAGACTTCCCATAAAAGTTTTTCTAAGCTGATTGGGAAAATATGGACAACAATCAACCCAGAAGTTATCAAATGTTGGATTTAAGAAGGGAGGTATCTTTCCATTTGATGATAAAGTTGTATCCGAAGATCGTTACGAGGCTTTTTCTTTAAGGCGATGGCAGATTTTAGCGGACGTCAGAGATCAGCGCCAAGAGACTTCTCTAGATGTGACAGATGTTGCCACCTTCGAGACAAACTCGTGAATATCGTATTTCAACAATATGGACGTAGGATTTTAGCGAGCTACTTTTGTAACCTTATGATTTTTTTCTCTGTTTTTCAGATGTCCAGTATCTTTCGAACATCTCCTACTACAAACCGTAAAAAGCGAAACACCAACTCCAGCAAAAAAGAAGAAGCGAATTGCAGCAGGCAGTGATCACTGCCGGACCCAGCAAAGACACCTTCCTAGACTCAAGTGATGAAGACCAGGAAGATCAGATCTCTCTACACGATGAGTCTGAAGGTAGATTTCGTGGGCCAGAATTCGTTAGAAGAAGATGACGAGTAGGAACTATTTCTTGGTTCTCCGCCTGAATTTTCTCTGAGAGACCGTGCTCTGGTGGCTTTCAAATGCCAAAGTTGGGACAGAAATGACATTTTATATATAGGCTACGTGATTTCTCTCACTGAAAGTGATATCCAGTTGAAGTTCCTGAGGAAAAAACAAAGTGGTTTGTTTTTCCTCAGGTGGAAGATATATCCCTTGTGACAAAAGAGGATATTCTTAAATTATTACCAGCTCCACATGTTAGAAGAGGAATGCATAATTTAAATATTAAGTTTCTGCAAGATATACAACACTCCAAAAAATGACAAAGATATACTTTGTCATTTTTTGGAGTGTCATTAGACCCTTCTGAAGTTATTTTGTTTTCAAAATTATGAAAATTTAAAAAAAATTAGACTGTGTTCTAATACGATATGTAAGAAACTGACTACTACGATATGTAAGAGAAAAAAATTATAATTAATAATCGTGAAAAGCTACAGATTTGGAATCTTCCCTAAATAAAGATCATTGTGAAAGTACTTGGTGCACTTATTCTCAATTTATCGAAATAAGTGATGGATTCGACCGTTAAATGGAAACTCATTTTATATAACAATAAAACACTGCAAACTTTGTTTTTAAAACTTCCACAAAATTTATTATAATATTTTATCACTACAGCTGTTTTGGCAGAGTGTTTTGTCTTAAGTGATCTATTATAGGTGTGTTTACACTTTCTAGTCTTTAACTGAATGGGTTGAGGATGGGAGAACTGTTTGCTCAAGTTGGTCATTCAGAATTATGTCTGTATTTTTTAATTTGCTAATTTCCATAGATTCTAATACTATATATCTATAAGGCCTTTATATTGGATGTGAAGAATTTGAAATTCGTCATTAAAAGAATGATTATGATCTAGAAGGCGAAGTGCGTATGTAGAAACTGTTTTTCCATTATTGAAAGCCCTTTTATGTTCTTTCATACGTTTGTTAAAAGTTCTACTAGTTTGACCGATGTAAGTTTTTGGGCAATAACCACATTTAAGTTTGTATACACCACTGTGTGTGTTTGGCTCTTGTTTTTTAATATATTAAGTAAATATAGTTGTTGTTTGTTCTAAAAGCTGGTGTTATTCCTTTCTTTTTTATGTGTTTGGCTATTTTTGTTGTTATTTTGCCTGTATATGTAATTGAGCAGAAAGTACTGGGTTTTTTCTCTGGCGGTGGAAATACTAATTTCTGGGCTTTCTTATGTAATTTTGATTTAAAATTTTATTAATTGTCTGTTCATTGGAAATATTATTTACTGCTATTTGCTTCATATCTACTTAATATATCTACTTAAAATTTTAGAAAATCTACAAAAAATAATGAATGAAAGCTTAAGATGCAGTGAAATATGGATTCTTCCTCAATGTAACAAAAAGCAAAATAAAATAACAAAGATAGTCGAAGACTTCTACAAAACCTTGTACAACTCGCAAAGCCAGCTTAATGAATCAACAAAAGAAAACGTCAAAAGAAAAATAAAAAACGTGGGATCAGAGGTACTACCGAGTATAGAGAGCTTCGAAATAGAAAGAGCTTTAAAAGAGCAAAATAATAAAGCTCCAGGACAAGACGATATAATTGCTGAGCTCTTAAAAACAAACAAGACAGTAACAATCCCTATACTAACAAAGCTATTTAATAAATTTCTCCCTAGTAGCAAAATCCCAAAAGACTGAAATGAGATTCTAAAGTCTTACATAAAAAAGGAGACAAATATGGCATAAAAGAATTATAGACAAGGTCAAGACGTTGCTCAGTCAAATATACAAACTGTTTATGAGAATTATTCACAATTGATTGACATACAAAATGGATAATTACCAAGCGGTTGAACAGGCTGGCTTTCGCAAAGGATATAGTAGATTAGACCATCTGCTGACAATGAGAACACCGATAGAGAAGCCAAAGGAGTAGGTACCAACTAACCGTATTTCTTGCCTTTATAGACTATGAATAGGCATTTGATAGTATCCAGCTGTGGTCTACAGAACAACCTATTAATAATGTAAAATAGATATACGCAACTAATATATATGAAAACGCAACTATAATAGTACAACTAGACGAAAATACAAATCCCATCCTCAGTAGGAGATAAGTTAGACAGGGCGACGTAATATCGGCCCTAAAAGACGTCTTGAAAACTTCAAATTGGTCAACATATGGCACAAACGTTAATGGCAACCACCAATGGCAAAGTTAAACCACCTCAGATTCGCTGGCGACATTGTCATTATAGCGAGAAGATTCGAGGAATTACAAAATTATAATAAAGGAACTCGCAGACAGCTCCCAATACGTCGGCCTTAAAATGAATATGACAAAAATTAAAACAATGACCAACACAGATGATCTCAGACGTATATTTATAAATGGCAGTGAGATAGAACAAGTCAAGGAATATATCTATCTAAGCCAAATTCTGAAACTTGACAAAGAAAACCAAAGTGCGGAAATCACTAAAAGAGCGAGACTGGTATGGGCAGGATTTGGAAAACTCAGTTGGACAGTGAAGAACTGTAAAATACCTCAATACTTGTGGAGCAAAGTGTTCAACCAATACACCCTTTATGTGGATGTCAAACCTGCACCCTAACCAAGGCAAATTTAACTAAAGTAGCCACAACAGAAATGGACATTATAGGTAATGGATTTTGACAAGAGCTATGACCTTGTAAATAACAGGTAAACTTGTGTATGGCATCGGCATGATTCATAGCTCTTGTTAAAACAAAACTTGGGGATAACACAACAAAAATTGCCATGCCAAACTCAAATGGAGCTTCGCAGGTAACACTGCTAGACAAAAAGACCAACGTTGGAACGCCACAATACAACATTCTAGACCTTACAACGGTAGACGACCAAGAAGAAGACCACATATGTTATTAGTGACCATCAAAAGAATAGCAGGAACAAATTGGAAGTATGTTGATCAGGATACAGATCGATGGAAGGAGTTGGAAGAGGTTTATGTTTAAAAAATGGACAAGAGAATGCTAAGAAGAAGAAGAAGGCATCAGTCCTAAAACACGATTTATTGAATGTTATGTATGCAGTGTCCTATACTAATGAGAGTTGAATCGAGGACGCTGAATCGCAAGGCAATAAGTACACTTAACTCCTTTGGGAGTTGGGAGTATTGAAGGATTCTGAAGGTGTCATGGATGCATCATATTGCGAACGCTGAAACGTTAAGAAAAGAAGAGCTGCAATATGTTAGACGTATAATGAATGAACAGTGGCCAATACCCGTAACAGAGAAGGCACCTGAAAAAAAACATACTACTATAGAAAATGTCACACCGAGAGTGCAGTAAGGCTAATATAGGAATGCATAATTGCCGGATTTCCCGCCTTGTGCTTGGCGATACAAACAGATCCAAGTGGTAGTCACAGAACCGTATCCAGATCTCTACGCCGGGTTCTGTTATTTATAATAAAATAATATATTGATAAAATAATTGCCTTCAAGTAGCCGTAGTAAATTTAAGTTTATACTGTATACTTTATACAGTAAAACTGTATACTTTATTAAACTAACAAATGTATTTTAAATTACATTTCTTGATAGCCATTAATATACCGGGTGGAACCTCCGATAACTCGATTTCCGTGCACCCAGCCCAATATCCAAGAAAAACTTTTTCTTTTGTGAATATGTGAAAAATTATCAGGAACGGGAATATCGAAAAAGCTTTGCACATTTTTTAATCCCGGCGATGTTATTAAAAAAACAAGTGGAAAAACTCCAAGCTTTCCCTATCTCACCCCCTACCCATCCTTAGGATGTATTACTAATTATGAAAATACTAATTATGACAAACAAGTTTATGGCCATATTTAGGTGATTATGTTAATTATGGTAATTTGTAGCAGAAGTTTTATAAAAGAAATGAAGACCTATTTATAGAAACAACATAACAGTACTTTAAATATTTTACATACAATAGAAAAAATCTAATTTCTATGAAAGAATTGGAAATTTGAATATTATATATAATATCTATAAATAATATTATTTCCAAGTTTCCAAATTCTTTCCTAGAAATTATGTAGGTTTTTTCTATTTTATGTAAAACATTAAAACTACAGTTATTGTATGTTGTTCTTGTAAAGAGGTGTTCAAATGCTACTCTTATGAATATGATTCAATTGTATATCTCATGTTGACGTTATATGTAAAATTCATAGTTTTCGTTGTCAATAACTCATCAATGCCTTTTTATTCTACTGCATACGTGTACGTGATATAAAACATTTTACTCGTACTGCCGGCAGATGCATTTTATCCAAGCCGGTCCTGTGAGACAATGAGCAATCAACAGCTGGAGAAAACCGACAACCCTGCGCGTTTATTCTCCATAAGAAAAGCATTGCCGTATCTTACCCGTACTGCACTCTCAGTGTGACATTTTCTATAGGCTGAAAGTATGTATAGTATCTCATTAGATATTAATGTCTCTCGGTTAAAGATCCAGGGTCTCTAATGTATTTGCTGTTTATGGCAGTATACATACCTACCCATAATTTAATTTAATAAAAAAATGCATAGGATTTGCGCACATACTATAAGCATAACTGCTCAAAGTTTATAGCGGTGATTTTAGAACATTCTATACAAAGGATGAGTCCATATATTAGGTATGACGGCTACTATAAGACAAATTCGAATCAGGGTGCCTTGTTAGATACTATATACGTAATTGTATCGTTTAATTAAACGTTGTAATAAAATGGTTAACATAACTTACGTTTTACTGTTGTAACCGCCGAACTTACTTTCCATACAGTAGGTTCTTTTGTAAGAGACCCGTTTCCTAAAATTTCTTTGCATTCATGCGATGTGCTGCCTCCTGGGATTATTATACAAGTACTGTCATTAAACTTATTCTCAATTTCGTCAAAATCTAGATGAGTTTGATTTTCAATGCTTGTGTAGTTTGATAATTCCAAACCTAAAATGAAGAAAATTATTGATAAGTTTATTAAAAAAAACTTACCTTTATTTGTATCAATATTGGGATATACTTGATGCACTAATAAGTCCATTTTCAGTTTTTAAGTCCGTTCCAATGTGTATACTATATCATGTACGAAGCCTTAAATATATATTATCTTTGGTTCTTTCTAAACGCACTCGTAATTAAAAATTGTGGTTTACATACACATTTACATAGTATATGGCATCAGTTTTAATTGGATGTTGAAAATTGGTTTATAATTTAGGATCAGGTAGCAATTATTTTATCTTAATGTCAGTATAATATTATTCCAATTCGACATAAAAATTAAATTTAATTGAAATTATCAACGTAGCATGAAAATATAGGGTCATTTTGTTCATAATCTTATACATTTTAGAATTTTTAACAAAGACGAGGGTTTCCTGCCGAAACCCTAAGCCAAATTTAATATTACTTATTGAACCTAAATCCAAGAAATACTAATTTTATATTATATATATATATATATATATATATATAAATATATATATATATATATATATATATATATATATATATATAATATATATATATATATATATATATACAATTACTAAGATTCCTGATTTGCAATTAACCAGTGTAAATTTCTATATAACGTCGCGATGTTTTATAACTAATTTATTTGTTCCACTGGATTACCTCTCCTCAGCGGTTTGTAGTAGCGTATGTGGCACGCCGACAGTGTTGCTCCGTCTACCGTTTTTTCTTGAAAGTCCGGTTTTGAGCAGATAATAAATAATGTTTTATTAACATTAATTTTGTTTGTGTTCATTAGGTATTATTTGAATTATAAAATTTATACTTAAATACATTTATTATTCCAAATATTGTTTATAATTTTAAATTAAAAAGAGTGTAATATTATTATTTTATTTTTAAAATTCCTTTTTATTTTTAATTTTAGAATTTTACTTTTTTTTAAGCCGTTTTGGCAATAAAACATAACTATTTTTTTAGTTATAAAATATTTTTAATTCCATATCTACATTTATAAATAAGTACATTTTCGTTGAATTTACATGCAATCTAGGAGTGTTCCGTTTTTACACTTACACTGGCAGCATCGCGGCGTGAATTGAAACTCCAGTCGAACAAATAAATTATTTATAAAACATTGCGACGTTGTATTGAAATTTACATTGGTTACTTGCACATCAAAGGATCTGAGTTATTGCATTAAAAATACTATGTTCCGTAAATTTTTTTCCAAATCTGTATATATATATATATATATATATATATATATATATATCTATATAATATATCTAAATATATATATATATATATATATATATATATATATATATATATATATATATATATATATATATATATTGTTATGATATTTAAAATCGAGAAAAATATTCGTTGTTTAAAATATTTCAAAATTCAAAAACATTAAAATAATTTAGATCAGTAGGATAATACCCAACAAACATTTCGAAGAAGGAAAATATTTAAATTTTTGGATTACCTGTATTAAACAAAATGTAAGCTATGCATAAATTATTTCCTTTGTTACACTATACTTGAGTGACCCGCATAATTTTAAGTGAAATCCAAAGAACAATTGAACCGGGTTTTCCAAATACATTAACGCAGCGATTAAAGACAATAGAAGAGGTTTTAGAAAGAGGTTTTTGTTAGTTTTTAAGAATTGTAGAAAAATATTATTTGTAAATAAGTTTTAGGAAATTTTATAATTATAGGTAAAAAGTTGTTTGTTATCGAAATGAAAAAACTGGGGAATTGTGACGAGTTTTGATTGGTGGAGAATAAAAAAGGTGGGATAGGTATGTAGGAATGAAAGTTTAGCTAGAATTTTGAGGGAGAAAAGATAGTCAGTTGGTTTCCAAGGGTGCAAGGCGAACGGCCGTTGTTCTCGGGTAGTTTCCCAGAGGTAGGAAGCAGTAGCAGTGAAAACTTTGTGAGTTTTCGTGTAGTTAGTGTATCTGACAGAAGCTGATCGAGTAAAATATTGTAAGTCATATTTTTCTACTTATATTCCAAGAGTCACTGTTCAGGCCAACGAGAGATTCAGTTTATCGTAAAGAAAAGATATTCCAAGAGTCATTTTTCACTCAGGCCAACGAGAGATTCAGTTTATTGAGAGAAGAAGAAGCTAGCATAATTTGAACGATTCGTGCATTTGAAGGAGATCATTAAGGACGAGATACTTGCAATAATTTATTGTAAGATTGCTGATTACTTAGGGAGCGGCCACGAGTAAATAATATAGTCTACAAATAACAAGGATTTGGACCACTCATCATCAGAGAGAGATAGTTTTGTTTTCTGCAGTTTTTTTTTCTTTCATTGATAACACAATTTTTACACTTAATTTAGAAAGGATATAAATATTTTAATTTGGAGAATTAGAATAGTTTGGGATTTTGAGATTTCAATTAATATTGTTTGTACCATTAATTTTGATTGTTCACGTACGTAGAACAAAAATTTGAGAATCATTATATGAGATTTTGTTTATGGAAAACTTTTGAGTGTGAATTATTTCATTATTTTTATTTCAATATATAGTGTTAGATCATATGTGTTTTTTATTATTCCGGTATTCTTTGGACCTTACCTTTCACATGTAATAGCATAGATATTAAAGCACGAATTTAACCCTGAGATAAAAGAATTAAAAATTGTGATAGAGTCATAATCATATCATTTAAATAATTTTAATTAATCAAAAAATTAATTAGCTAATTATTGCTTGGCGCACCAAGACTTTAAATATCACAATAATATATATATATATATATATATATATATATATATATATATATATATATATATATATATATATATATATATATATATATATGTGTGTGTGTGTGTGTGTGTGTGTGTGTAATATAATAAAAAACTAGCATTGTCTCCTATTTTTTAAAACAGAAATACTTACTTTCACATAAATTTTTTCGAAAATTATCGCACTTATGGTTAGGACATTTTGAGCAAGGTTTTCCTCTTATGTAAATTGGTTGCCCTTGTACATTTCCTCCAGGACCGTAGTTACAAATAAACCTTTGGTGATAAAAATTGCCCAGTTTTGCTTTATATATTGCAGCACCACATCCAATAGCTTTACTATTTGCCCATACCATTTGGGAATAATGCCCTATTACTTTTCTTCCTCGATAAAATCTATAATAAAAAGTTCAACTATTACACATACGTATATACGAGCATTATACTCTTTTCTCTGATAAAAGACCATATTGTACAAAACGTTATACTGTACGGTTCGGAGGTTTGGTATGTTAGTAAAGCAAATAGAAATAAACTTATGAAGATAAAAATAAATTATTTAGGACGAAGTTGTGTAAAATCGCCCAGTTCCATTTCAGTTCCGCTTATTTCATTCATTCCGCAGAATGAAATGCCTGCATAGTTCATTCAGAACTATGCAGGCCATGTAGCGAGAATGCATGATTTACGATGGATGAGGAAAATTAGAGAAAGTGGAGGAAGACCACATACACGTTGTGCTGACGACATCAAGCTTATCACCAAAAATTGGCAACAAAGAGCAGAAAATCGTAAAGAATAGAGGAGTTTAAGGAAGGCCTATGTCCAGCAGTGGACGTGATAAATGATGGCTGGATAATGATCATGTGAAAAAACTAAAGCTCTTATTTTATCCTCATTTATAGCTCTTAAAATCCTACCTAGAAAATAAACACTTCCTGATGAAACAAGGAACTATATATTCAGGCGTCCCGCAAGGCAGCGTCTTTGACGCAATACTATACCTCTTGTATACAGCAGATATTTCAACATCAAGAACAACTACAGTAGTAACGTATGCAGAGGATACTTCTATTTTGGCATCCCACACATTATCAGCCTCAAGAAACCTTCAATAAAATCTAAATAGCATTTAGCAAAGGTTAAAAATATAGCGCATGAAATCTAATGAAACTAAGTCACTTCACATAAAATATACGATACGTAGAGAAACATGTTCTCCTTTATATATTGACAGTTGTTAACTTCCTCAATTTGAAGATGCCACATATCCCAGCAGGCATTTAGAGCGCTATCTAACTTAGAAAAAACATATATTCACCAAACGCAGACGTTTGGACTTAAATTGAAGTTATGTGTATTGTCTTATTGGCTACAAATCAAAATTGTCCTTAAATAGCAATTTTTTATTAGGTATATACGTCCATCTTTAAGCCCATTTGGACTTATGGAATCTAGCTATCCACTTAGTTTGTCCAATATAAACATCTTACAGATATTTTAAAATAAGGTTTTCTCTGACTAAATAACGCCAAGAAGAAATTATTCCAGACTATGACCTATAAACTTCATTACAGAACATCGCCCGTAAAAACCCTTGGAGATGAGTGAATAAGTATGTAAGAGTACTAGGAAAATACCAAGCTGGTTTTAGAGGTGATAAATCGACAATTCATCAAATTGCAACCCTGAGATAAATTTTAGAAAAACACTGGAATATGGCATATATACTCATCATATTTTACGACTCTGTAAATAGAAGAACAATTTGCAAAGCATCGAAAGAACTGGGAATACCAAATCAGTTGGTAAATTTAACATAACTTTAATATCTTAAAAAAGTTGAATGTAAAGTACAAATTCAGGGGAAACTATCTGAACTTGTTAAAACAAACAACGGACTGTGCCAGGGAGACCCTCTCTCCTGTATACTGTTTAATCTGGCTCTGGAAAAAGTAATACGTATGTAACAAATCACAACCACGGTCTCAATATATAACAAATCAGTGCAAATCGTCCTTGCTGATGATATTAATATTGTTGGAATGAAAAACGCTGTACAAGTGGCGTATGTAGCACTAAAAGAATCGGCTATAAAATGAGTTTAATAATAAACACCAAAAAAATTAAGTACATGAAAATAAGCACGCAACCGCAAATCCCACGAGCACTTGTTATAGAAAATGACGTCATCGAAGCAGTGAACGAATTTGTATACCTGAGAGCTCGTTAACACCGAAAATAATAATACTTCTTAAATCCTCAATTATATTGAGAAATACATAGGTAAAACTCTACAAAACATTAATACGTCTAGTCCTAACATATGGTTCAGAGACCTGGACTCTAAGAAAGAAGTTCGAAAGAAAAGTACTAAAGTGAATCTATGAAAGAATGAATGACAAAAATGAGTGTGGAGAAGATGATACAAAATGAAACTTTATAGAACGTACCAGGAACCAGATATCGTAAAATATATTTAGGACGTCTGAGATAGGTAGGCATGTTATGCGGATGGAACAAAATAACCCAGCAAGAAAAACGCTCCTTGAAGAACCTATTGTCCAGAGAAGAAGAGTTAGATCAAGAACAAGGTTTCTTGATAACACCGACAAAGTCATGAGAAAAATGTCAATACGTGCTTGGTGGAAGGAGGCGATGGATAGGGACGTGTGGAGAAAAATTCTTGAGAAGGCTAGGACCCACACAGAGTTGTAAAGCCAGAATGATGATGATGATGAGAGACTAATTCTCCAAATAATATCAGGAAAAAGCTTATTGAACAGCAAGAAGAGCGGAAACATGAACAGGATGTGAATTGTAAAATGTATAAATGGGTGAGTGTGAAAACAAAAACATAGGCCAGATCATTATATCTATAAAATAATAGAAAACAGGGTAGAATCAACAATTGTGCGGAACAACTCAAAGAAGAAACATTGCAAATTTAAAAAAATTGTAGTATAAGTGTATTTTTATCGTAATACGAACCCTTCAAATTTTTGTATATCGGACGGAATAACATTTTTTACTGCTTGATACCATTTTAATATGAAAATATCAAATTCTGTCTCTTCATCCTTCTTTAGCAATGAACTCGCAGCATTTTGGCCAACATATTTGTATTGACCTGAAAAATAATTTAACAATTTTATAAATGTTGCTTTTGTTCAAATTTATTTTATATTTTACTCGATTGTCTGCAAAGGTCATGTTGTCCACTTGCGTTTAGTGGTATACATTGATCTACCCATCTTTGAGCTATTGTTGCTAACTCCTCGTCCCATTCCTAAAAATTAAAAATACATCTTTATTCGTGTTAATTTTATTTATGCTGCAGGTTTGCTCGTAAGACCACGATTGGGTGGTTGAGGCGTATTTGGGGACCAAGGCTATAATCTACAATAGTTCGTCAGCCTCTAAAACATCACTTGGTCAAAACTTTTCTCCCTATACCATGCACCCTCTGGGCGTGGTAATGTTATACTACAGGTTGGTAAGCGCAGTAGTCACAGCACAATTCATGTCATTTATAGTGCGGTTGTGCTGTTGTGGTGATTCCTTTATCAAAACTGGGAAAAACTTTGAACCTATCATGATTTAATTAGGTAATTTCCAATATTAGGGGAGAAGAGGGAGACTTGATCCCACCGTTACATTTTTTCAGATAGCTCCTTTTACAACCAATCTAGAACCTTGATAATTTAGTGGAACATTACAAATTTATCACAGTTTTGGGTATTGTACATCCGAAAAATATACTGCTAATAAAAAACGAGTTTTTGTAGAATTTCGTAACATGGAGAAACTAATCATGTCTCCCGTACTCCGGGAGACTTGATCCTTGTGTATGGGAGACTTGATTATACCTTTCCAGATTTACGATATTAAAATAAAACCAAAAATTGGATGCTGAAAACTAACTTTACTCAGTCATGACTTATAACAAATAATGTTATTAAAAATATATAACACTTTCTGGCAAAAAACTATACTGAAAAATGATAAAAGAAAAAAAATTATTCTCGAATATTGAACATCCTTAGTGATTTGGGAAAGACAAAACATCCTATACGCTTACTGTAGCTCCTAAAAGTCGGGCGTGGTAACTTTTTTAAAATTTGGTCACGTGGGACTTCACCCATGTCTTCTTTTTCTGGCCACTTAAAGGTTTTTTCATCCCTTTTTTGGGCAAATTTGATTTTAAAATCCTCGTTCTTTTTTCCATTATCTGTCCTACGTATCGATGGACTAAGTTTCTTTCGGAGACAAAGCTGACAATTACCCAATCTTGCACACTCAACTCAAACTCGTCACCTTCTGCTTCCGATTCACATTCACTATCTGTCTCTACTTGCATTTCATCATTAGGATCATATTCAGACCCTGACGATGGTAGTATAATGTCACTGCCCCCCGAACTTGAAGATTCCCTCAAATCCTTAAGTTTTTGTTTAGTTATTCTTTTTAGGGCTCTTATTTTGGCCCTTTGCTCTTTTTCTAATTTTTTCTCTTCTTTAGCCTTAACTTCAGCTTCAAGCGCAAGTTTTTCTGGTGTTGCTGTGAGAATTTTTGTAGTTGCTCGCTTTCTACCCTTTGCTGAAGTCCTGGGCCCGGCTTTAGGGTGGGGTCTAATCATTTCTGGGCTAGTAAACGTGGCAGAAGGGAAAGAATGGTTATTGTGCTCTTTTGATGTTTGTTGTAGCTGTTCATTTTGTGAAGTATCTCCATTTACAGAATAGGAAATCTAATTATTTGAGGTGTGGTGAAAGTACCAGTAGAAGTAGAAGGCTGATTTTCGTCCTCAATTAGTGTTCGTCGTAGTTGTTGATTATGTGAAATGGATCCACTTGAGGAATGTGGTCTAATAATTTCAGGGGTGGTGAAAGTGCCAGTAGAAGTGGAGGGTTGATTATTGTTATCTATGGCTGGTTGTGCAACATCAAACTGGGATAAAGTGGATTTGTTTTCCAGATCTTCGCGATCAGTAACATACGCCGACATAAAATCTTCATCGGTAAAAATATTGGAATTGAAAGGCCATATACCCGTAACTCTGAATCCACTCTCAATATTACGTGGAGTAAAATCATCCAATCATCACAGGCAGTATTATAAAAACTCTTGAGAGGGCCAAATACACTGGTGTCTAACGCCTGGAGCTTATGCGACGTATGTGGTGGTATGGTAAGAAGAACTATTCCGTGTGCTTTGGCATACGTTATGGCTTCCAGACTAACGTGGCTATCGTGATTATCCATTATGATTAAAGATTTATTGTCGGTAGTCGCCTTTACATGTTTTTGAAAATGTTCCAAAAATTTAACGAAATTAGAAGCGGTCATCCATCCACTTTCATAAACTACGCCGGTGGTCCCTGGTGGGCTATGATCAATCATGCGATCTTGGGGAAAAGTTTTCGAGGAAAAACCAAAAAAGGCGGTATATGATTTCCAATTGCGTTCATTGCACCACAAAGAGTTACTGTTGGTCCACGTTCCCCTGACGTAATTTTACCAACCTGTTTTGCACCCTTGCATGCAATAATCTTCTTTGGCTTATGGACAGTTGAAAGGCCAGTTTCGTCTATGCTCCAAATTGCTTCTGGTCCAATTCCATTGCTTTCAAGAACTGTCTTTAAATTTATGAAAAATTTTGATACATTGTTTCTGTTGAAGCTAGTTGCTCTAGTAAGACTGGTTGCTTCCGGAGATCGTAGTGATAAGGTCTTCATCCTCTTCAGAAATCCGTATAACCAGTCGGAACTGGCTTGCTTATGTTTATTCCACGAAGCAGGTATTTTTTTATTATTTCTTACGGCAAACTCGTATGCTAGTTCTTTTGCTTGTTTGGTTGTAAGGCCATGGTGTAATTTGCTGGCAACATCTAAATAATCTTTAAACATATTTTCCTCTGCATTTGTAAAAATTTGAGCCTTCTTGTAATCAGGATAATAGGTTACTTCAACATTTTCAGATCGTTGTCGGCGAACGTATCTTTTTAATGTCATAACATTTATTTGATAACGACTTGCCGTTCCCTTGAGAGACGTTCCGTTATTAATAACGTCTAATACAGCTTCTTTTAACTTCTGGCTGTCGACTGGTGTTCTTTTCTTTGCTCCTTCCCTCCTTTTGTATTGACGTGGCATATCTATAAAATAAAAAACACTCATCTATAAGGAGTTTCTGGGAGACTTGATCCCGGGATCACATCTCCCAGATAAGATGTAATCAAGTCTCCCCCAAGACGCCATTTAAATATTTTTGTCTATAAAAATATGACGACAAACTAGAACTCATTGCAAAATGTGCAAAACGTAAACTGAATGATTATAGTGTTAAATAAAAATATATACGAAAAACTCACCTTAACGAATATTAAAGAAAATCAACTTGAAATAATTCTGAAAACACTTCTCGGTAGGGACAAAAAATTTGTAATAAACACGTGCTCTTCGTTGTGGATTCTAATACAAACTAAATTAAATGGGATCTTCAGACATACTAACAGCTACGCTTTGTTGCCGGTTTTATAATTTTAGGCTACTTATTTACTGAAATTTTAAAGAGTGATCAAGTCTCCCCTATGATCAAGTCTCCATCTTCTCCCCTAATATTTGAAATTGGAATAACTACATGCTTAAAATGACATTGGTATGCCATTAACAATATTACTTATGCTTTTTGTACTACATTTAATTATATTTCAGGATAAGGTATACTCGCAAATATTTTTTGGCTTAATAAAAAGTACTTTCACTTCGTATTTCTTTAAACAACTGCATTTTGCCAGGCTAAATAAATTCTATTAAGGTCGTAAAACTGTGTCGTTGTTTTTCTTTACACCTATGGTTTAATATAAAATGATTTTTGGGGCGTAAATGGTTAGTATGGTTCTAGGTGGTCATCCAGCCGGCAGAATAGTGGATGATTCTAAAACTGCTAGCAAGTCCTATTTTCACTACCTCGTGGTACTCCCATAACTGAAGCCTCCCGGCTAAAGTATGGTAACCCTAACAGAAAAGTTACTGGTCCTTTAAGTTGGAGTTTGGGCGAAGGACTAATAACCTTACCCTTTAAACAAGTATTTGTTCCGAATATGCATAGAGAAAAGACCGGTTGATGAAACAAAGATCACGACTATGTGAGAAAAAGGTACATGATTTAAGGATTGCGACCTAAATAATCCGCTTTCTCTACAGTCCAGGAGCTCGCCAAAACCTGATTAGAAAAATATAGAATAGACGTGACAGTTGTCCAAGAAATTAGATGGACAAGAACTGTACAGTAGAAAAACGAAACCATATAATTTTCTATAGTTACGATGTTAAAGACCACACACTAGGTACTGCTTTTATAACAAATAAAAAAGTTGAACATCTAATAAAAGATTTTCGGACAAAAAAACCTAGAAAAAAGACGAACTGAAAGAACAATTATTCGAGGAAATAAAAGCAGGATACTATACATGCTCAAATAATGACATTAAGATTATTTATGGAGACTTCAATGCAACAATGGGAAAAGAAGAACAATACCAGACTACCATTGGTAAAGCCGGTCTCAATGAAGCATCCAACGACAATGGCACTTAGATTAACATTATCATTGTAAGTACATGTTTTTAGATCACAAATATGAAAAAGGACATGTAGATCTGTAGATGATACCACAGTTGACATGATATGTAGACTCTAGATAGATACCAATACCAAACAGACATAATAACCATGCGTACTAGGAGAGGAGCCAATGCAGACCCAGGTCACTTACTATCTTATGGAAAGTAGAATAAGAGCTAGAATATCTAAGAGCAAAGCAAAAAAAAAATAAAAGATGAAATAGAGGAATTAAAGGATAACAGAAAAATTTAGAATATAGCAGAACAATAAGATATAGAATAGAATAGAAAGAACCTAGAAAGAATAACCTAGAAAGCTTAAAAGAAGATTCAACAAAATTTCTTTACAAATTACGACTGGCCACAAAATTACAAAATGTGGATCGAGAAAAGATAACAGCGGAAGAATTATACCAACAACTTAAAAAGTACATTCATGAGGCTGCAAGTGAAGCTTTGGGGTATAAAGACAAACATGAAACAAAAAATCAAGTGGTGGTCGGAAAATATGCAAACGTTAGTAAACAAGAAGAAAACTGCTTATCAGAAATGGATGTCAACGAGAAAGGAGGAAGATCACAAGGTATATACAAAATTAAATCGAGATGTAAAAAGAGAAGTAGTGAAAAGTAAAAATGAGATGTGGGATCGAAGATGTGCAGAGGT